GGAGCCCTGTGCTCAGGTTCACGGAGGGGCTCTGCAGAGCAGGGCTTCATGCCTAAGGTAACTCAGGCACCCAGTTTCCTCTCCAGCGGTGTGAGCTCAATCTATGGCATGGCGCGCTTCTCATTCAAAGCTCAACCAGAGAAACGCCGAAATGTGGGAGTTCTCTCCTCTTAGAGGAGGCAGATCTCAGGAAGCTCGGGGCCAATTCCTGAGGCAGACTAGATGTGGACCGCAGAGGAGGACATCCATCCATTAAAACCCCCTGTTCCTCCTAGCAACATTCACTCCATAGAGCAGTTGTTAAGAATTTATTTTTCACCCACTCTTTTTCAGTAGTGTTTGGTTAAATATGTATCCAAATAACAAAAAGGCGATATTGCATTTAAAAAAGAACTACTAAAGTAAGTCAACAAGATCCTAGATCATGGGTACCTTATTGACTCAATGTTCAAGAATGACAGAAAAAGAATGGTAACTATTAGCAAAAGACCTACTGCACTTGCCTAAATACTTGAAAACATACATTCTGCCCTTTTTTTAATTGAAAAGTTAACTACTGCTGACCAGAATGCCCAAGACAATATTCTAATTAAGTTTGGAAAACAGTAGTCAAAGAAGTGGAATCCATACCAGTTTTTTGCACTTGCAGTTCCCTTTTGGCTTGTTCCAGGATAGACTTGATTGCTTCATCGGACCCGGTCTCTGAGGCTCGGATCCGGGTGGTGATGTTACCTGCAAGGAGAAGCCACACCAATGACATCAAACCCACACCTGGAACAAGAACCAGTGCCGCACAAAGATGTCATTCTGATCAACAGATCTCACAGGAGTTGAGGCTGGTGATGGTAAGGAGGCAGGTATGGCCTCCCATTTACCTGTACCTGCTGTGCATGCAACTTCATAGCAGGTACCGTGACCCCATGCATAAAGGGCTTCGTGCTGAATCTACCTGACGTTGAATGTTATTCGGCCAGTGGGATAAGCTCTCACATTTACTCAAGCCGGACACCCATGGATTGGGACCAGGGAGAGAAAATCATTTAAAAGCAATTCCAATAACTGCTTTGACATGGGGCTATGTTCAAGGTTCTGTACGTGTATTTGAGGATGGTATCCCAAAAGGAAAAATGGAAAAGAAGGGTAAAAGGTTGAGGCCGATTACCTATTAATCATTTGGATGTACAAAGTAAAGAGGCTAAAGGCTTAACTTAAAATTTTCAATCTGTTATCACATCCTGTCTTTTAAAAGTTTATGAATGAGCCCAGCCTGTGTGGCTCAGTGGACTGAGCATCGTCCCATGCACCAAGAGGTCACTGGTTCGATTCCTGGTCAGGGCACATGTCCAGGGCTTGGTCCCCAGTAGACCGTATGCAGGAGGCAGCTGATCGATGTTTCTATCTCTCTTTCCCTCTCTCTAAAATCAGTAATACATTAAAAAAAATTATTAATGAGGAGAGGAGCCTACAGAAATCCCTAAAGGACAAGAATTCAGTCTTTTGGTTACATGGTGATGCTTTGCAGAGTAGCTGCAATACAGATGTATTGAAGCTACTACGGCCCGGGGGCTGGCCCCAGTTCTTTCTGGAAGCCATCCACGTTTTAATTTTTCACTACCTTACTAAACATAAACTGCCACACCAAACCATTTAAAACCCAGCCTACCACTGGGACCAAGCCCCATTAGAGATGCCACTCTAAGGAGTGTGGTCGGGGTTGGCTAGCAGGGCCCACAGGAAAACTGATTATGATTGGAATTTGTCCACTCTGTAGCACCTTCAACGTATTTCAGAATTAAAAGATAGTACAAGGAAGCAGCAATATCTCATTTGACTTAGTCACCTGATTTTTCTCAGAGCAACAACTGTTATTCTTTCACCTGCTTCTGAGAAAATGGAAAAGGTATAATTTGAATCTAACGGGGTTTGGGATTCTTATTTGGGGACTAAATCTTAGTGGTGGAGCCCACCTCTTCTGCACTCGGTAGAGTGCAAGCAGCTCAGAAGGAAGGGGCCTTGTGTACTTGAACCCGTGCTTTGTTTTATACTTACTATCTGTTTTTCCATCAGGTTCCAGGCCAGAATCACACTGCACAGTGTTAACCCAAATACACAGCTAAGGACATGCTGCTTCCTAGGTTACTAACTGCAAAGAAAAACACCTGCCTGCAACATACCTTCAGACCCATTTCTTCGTTTCGGTACTTCCTGAAATAGTCTGTTCAGGCTCTGGCCTGGATTCTCTGTTGAAAAACAAGTGTGGTAAGAACAAAACAATCAGGGGGATGGTGGTGTTGACGATATGGGCTGCGTGACATGAAATCTGAGCCACCTGTAACTACCGAGAGGGCTCGGGGCTTCCTGTGCAACTTGGGAGCTACCAGAAACTTCTGAGAGGCCCTTCCCTGGCTGATCGGCCTCAGAGGCCATGGCTCTGCTGCAAAAGGAGATCAGATGGACCTGCGGCACCAACGCCACCAGGGCAAACAGAGGGAGCACTGCCGCCAAGCGAATCGCCCACCAGCCCCCGGGACAAAGCTCACATTAATCATCCAAAGACAGTTAACATCGCCATAAAAACCTCGATGTGCCTTATGTAAACTGATGCTGTTTGAATGTCTCCCTTTGATTTGAGCCTAAATTTCAAGTTTTTTCAAACGTGTCTAAGATTACCTCTCTCTATCATTGTTGCTTTAGCAGAATGATCCCCTGCTGTTAGAGAGGGAAGGAATTCTTTCAATTATGGACCAGATTGACTTTTTATCATTTTATGGAGGGTGGGGTAGGAAAGATGTTTTAATGAAACTTTCATGTATTTAACTCAAGGCAGGCGTGTTTTGCTTATAATGCTAAATAAATCACTAAATAGAACATAGGCACTGGGAGCGAGTTGGCCACAAGACACACTCCCTTCTGTGTGGTGGGAAGAGAGGACACACTCGACGGAAGCAGCTCTGTGTGAGGATGGACCCCGCTGCTGCTGCTGCTGCTCTAGGGCTGGTTGGTACCTCAAGAACTCCTCCTCATGTGAGGCCAGCACCCAAGGCCAATCGATCCCTGGACACTAAACACGCTGAGATATTGTATGTAATGTAATTCTACCGATTCAATACACAGTACTGAAATACTGAGTTTACTACATGTGAGGTGATGAGCGTGTTTCAGAGGCTGGATCTCCCAAATCTAACAACTTTTACTCTTTGCCAGTTGACCCTTGAACTCTGGAAATAGTAGAGCTGAAGAGAATTTTACCTGATGTGATGCACAAATGTTTCATCACACACAGACACACACACAGCACTCTGTGACAGGCTCACACGCTGGTGCCAACCCATGAAAGTCTCTCACCTCTTTGTCTGCCTTGGATGCTGCGAAGAGCCAAGATGTTCTGCTCATCCGAGAGGAACTGCTTCATCTTGTGAAAAGGCTCCTTCCCGCGAACAGTCAGTTTATTCCATGGTTTGGGCCGGGCCAGAATCTCGCTCACGGACCCTTGAGACAGTCCCAAGACATAATGTCCAAAAATGCGCTGTCCAATATTGTGCTTGATCAACTGCTCTTTCACCTGCCGGGCGATTTCTGCAGTGTCTATCTCCTCGCCCTCGGAGACGCTCCCAGCACTTTCTGACTGGCTGGGAGACGGGGCCATGCCATTTACATCTGGGCTTTGTTGTAATGGACTTTGGGAAGATATGGAGTTTGTGCTGTATGGACCTGTTGAAAAAATCATGCTTGTGCTTCCTGCTTCCTGCATGGCCTTGGAGTAGAAGGACTGCATTAGCTGTCGTTGGAGGAGAGAGTTTAGTGCAAATTTTCCCGTAGAAGCCAGGGGTAGGCTGGGGCTTGCCAGGGATGAGCTGAAAAAGTCTTGCGTTAACCCCGCTGGTGAGAACTGGTGTGTACCATTAGTATTGGAAGCCTGCTCCCCCGTGTTGCGGGGCAACTGAGGAGGGGGCGCCGGCAAAGGTCCAGGACGCCGACTCTCAGGCTGGTCTTTCCCTTTTCTCCTGGCTGACCCTACAAGGAAGGGCAAACATAATGCATTATGGGGGATTCAAAAGGGAAAAAAAACCAAGACCAAAATGCAAAGTTTGCCCCACATAAGGGAAAAAAAGTGCATATTTTACAAGGGCCAATGAGCAGTGTTGGTTTGTTTTCAATTGAATTTTTAAATCAGCCAAACAAGGCCCCCCGGAAACAAGCAACATGCATTTCATGTTTGCACCTTTCTTGTACGTTGCAGCCTGGAGAGTCCCCTTGACATAGATTCAAACTCCTAAAGTGACAAGGAGCCGGTACCACACACAGTAGAGTTGACAAGTCGCGGGCCTCTGGCATTCGAGCTATTGCCAGGAGAGCCCCACCTGAGGAGCAGCAAACACTGACATTCTGGGACCAACAGATTCTCTCACACCACGTGCTCGGAGGCGAATGCACTGCACCGAGTCCGCTCGATCGAAGGCACGCACATTTTAAGAATGAAATATCATCGGAGCCCGAGACACTTTTAAATGGTTTACCAGCTGCCAAAACCAGAAGCAGTCAGTGACGCCACCATTTTGGGATGAGCAAAGAAAGGCTAAGGATGGGGGACGTGTTCCCAAGAAAAACCTGACGAAGGAAGAAAAGCTCCACTGAGCCTGGAAGGGCAGGGCTAACCTTGTCCGCAGCCCCCGGAACACCACGAGCGAGAGGCCACACAACTAGGCAAAGGTGAGAAAGCCAACATCCTCCGAGTGTCCCTCCTGTGATCTGCAACACTGGCCCTAACTGACCTCCACAGATACTCTGCGGCCACATATCTCGCCTTGACCGTCTTTAAGCAGGCGGGGGAGGGGAGGAGAGGAGCAGTGAGGAGGACGAGGAGACCAAACACTTATTAGTCAAGGTTCTCATCAACCAGTGATGTTCCCATCATGCATCGGCCCAGACTCACGGTTCACCTTCCTCTTCCTCGACCCCGGAAGGGACCGAGCAGGGCTCGTGAGAGCCTGTCAACCTACCGCTCAGGTCGCTGTTGGAGATGCGCAGAGAGGCGTTCTCGGACTGCAGCGAGCGGTTCTTCTCCAGCAGCAGCACCTCCAGGGGCTTGGATGCGTCCTAGACAGGGCAGAGTGGGGCTCACTGCGGGCGGCCACCCTCCACTCCTCAGGCCTCAGACCCTGTGACCACACTGCTCTATGGCTTCCCACCCAACATGTTATGGAAATCTGACTTCTCCCGATGGTGATTGACACACGCATGGAAAACATTCAAGTTCCTTTCCAAAAGAATTCATTCCAGTTGTAATAATTTTTCTTCTTCTACACAACTATTCTCTATTTTGTCCCCAAATTCAAGTGGTATAAACCTGTGTCTCATCTGGCAATAGGACTGGCTGCAGAGCCATACACCTGTCAGAAAATCATTGTAAAGGTGCCAGCCACAAAGAGTCAGCTGTTTTATGGGCATCAGGAGCAGGATTCCATGAGATTACTTAAATTTTAATTGGCTACCAGATTACCAAGTGCTATTGTCACCTTGCCTCTGTAGATAATAAAAGCTCCCAAGCCAGCCTTTCTGGGCTGATCTTTAACACAATCTGAAATTGTTTTTATTCAAGTTCTTTGTACCAACTTAAATCACAATTTCACCGAAATTGAGTTACCAGTTTGGAAAACACTAACTTTTCTTTTTAAATAAAGACAAACTGCTTTAACTTGGTTAAGTGTTCTTGAGGCATGATTGGCCAGCTAAGGGCGAGAGGTCTCACAGAAATATCGAGATAGTGAAGCTCGCCTAGAGACAAACAGTGACATGGCCATGCGGACACTCATACACACTAAAAGCAAAGTGAGACCATGTACCTGTGTCCCAGCTCCCTCAGACGGTGCAAACTCCATGGACTTCAGAATACTGCAAAGAGCAAGACAGAGTGGTTATTTCCTACTCTGACCTTTGTTCACAGCCATACTAATGAGCATCAACATCACAGTTTCCTGCTCTCCAGGACCAGAGGATCTGACAACTTTAACAACTTCCCTGGCAGCATTATAATCTGATAATGGTCTCTAGAATAACTACTCAACTAGCAGTTGGCCAGCAAAAGTTTCTTGCCCGGCATGTAAATCATTCCATATGGAATCACACCAGGTCTGTTCAGAGTATAATTTTAAAGTTGAACACAGGCATAACATTGATGCAAGTGGAATGTATTTGTAAAGCCTAGTGGGAATGAAAACGCTGGTACAAGGAAGCCAGAGAGAGAGAAATCTCAGCACCGTAGGGCTGTCACCCCACACGCTCAAGTGGTAGCTGGCACCTGGGCACAGGGAAATGGGCAAAGAGCATGGCCCCACACCTGGATGGCTCAAAAGCTGGCACAGACCTTCTCTGCAGCCCTGGGCTGGGGAAGGAGCATCATTGCAAAGATGTGGGAGAGCAGGTTTATTTTTCCTTTGTTCTCCTTATCATTGAAATCACACCAGCCTCTAGCTTGCTTCAACAAGCCTGAGAGCTGAGTGAGGTCAGGTGCCCAGAACTGCTGTTTCCAGTGTTTCTTTAGCATGGACATCGCTTTCTTTCTGTGAGTCTATTGGGGAGGAAAGGGCAAGGGAGTCCATGTGGGTGCTCCCCTCACACACAAGGAGGGAAGGCGGTAATGAGGGCGGGCTGCGCATCTCAGGCACGGGCCACCTGAGTTCTGCCAGCATTCTCAAAGCCATGACGTCAGCCTCTGCCCTCTTTAAGCTCCATGGAAGTGTCACCAGGAGAGCAGTGTGTAAAAATGCCAAGGGTCCCGGGAGACCACTTTCTACCAAGCCACCACGAGGATCAGCAGCAGCCGACTGCTCTTAGTTTCCCTCTGGTTGTACCTTCGCAGTGGTCCTTGTCATGTAAACTAACAGAACAGCATGCCAGGAGCTGATGTGGGCAGGCCGTGCTGTAGGAAACGCTAAAGGACTTGGCCTCGCCCACCAGACAGATGCCTGGAACGTGCTCTTTCTTGGCAGCCATTAGTTTGCTCACAACTATGTGCTTGCCTGAGAGCTTCCTCAGGACCACACAAGAGAAGACGGAGTCTCCAAGTTCATACTGAAACACCGGTGTCTCTTCATGGAGTTAACAGATATTTACCGACGACTTATGTGCCCGTCATTGGAGAATCGGAACCACTCCTCTCCTCATCCTCATGAACATTATAGGCTCTTTTAGGGAAGACAAAATCCAAAGAGCACGGGAAAGAGAAAACCTGTGGGGCCCTTGGCAGGAGAGACCTCATTAGGCTGGAGACAAGGTCTGTCCGTGGAGGAGTTAAGAGTCAGACGGGCCTTAAAGGAACAGGATGCTTTACAGGCCGCTGCAGGGTGTGGAAACCCCGGCATAGATGGGAAGAAAACGTGAGCATGTTTCTGAAAAAGCACTGAAATCACTAGGAAGTGGGAGGCCAAGGACACATTTTATCAGAAAAGCCACCGAGTGGGGTGGCTGTCGGATGCTGACGTGGTGGTGGGGGCTGTGGTGTGCAGATGCAACAAGAGGGCTGGCAGGAAGGTGGAGGGTGCTCTGGGAGGAGTGAGGGCCAGTGAGGCAGGTGGGCAGACAGGAGGGACAGACCAGGGATGAGCTACAGGCTGGAGTCAAGGAGCCTTGGTTCCTGGGAAAGGAGGTGGTCGGAGTGGGGGTGTGGGACTGATCTCAGCCTGGGGACGAAGGGGTCTTGGGTGAAGGCCTTCACATCAGTTCCTCTGATTCAACACTAGGAGGTGGCACCCATTTTCTTTCTTTTGAGGAGGGAAGAAGAGGGAAAGGAAGGGAAGACTGGATAGGAAGGCAGGTACAGAAGGCCAACCTGGTAAAAAATACACATCCCTGAGTTGGAAACGGGGTGGGGGAGAGTACAGGGCTTGAAGAAGCTAGAGCTGCAGAGATTAGGGGTCGGCCAAGAAGGTCCTGGCAGAGGCTGTGTGGCAGAGGGAGTGAGGCTGCACAGGACTGAGCAGAGAACCTGGAGGCACCTCACCAGGGAGGCTGGGGTCATGGCTGAGGACAGCTCCTGGACGAGGCGGCAAGAAGGTTCCTAGCAGACCCGAGGAACGGGATTAAGAACACAAAGAACAGCATGGCAAGTTGTATATACTCATTTTAAATGGAGAAACTGAAAAAGTCAGCAAGAGAAAGGAGCCGATAGAATAGCAGGAAGGAGTAAGAAGGGAGGGAGCCAGGGACCAGGTTGAGGGGTCAGCATGGGGAGATGGGAGAAGCCAGGACAGGAGTGATTTCAAGGCAAAGGGGGAAGATGCAGGATGTCTGTCTCCTCTGCAGAGCAGAGCACAGGGTGTCTGCTGAGGGCTCAGGTGGGGACAAAAAAGGGTCCCTGGGCAGCACAGAGCCAAAGCAGCAGTGGAGAGAACACAGCCTGCAGGGACCGGCTCACACACCACAGTGAGTTCCTACCAGGACTTGATGACCTGGCCATGGAGGCGGGGGAAGTCCAGGCAGGATAGGGTGGGCTGTGTGCTCTCTGAGGGGCTGCCCATGAGCTGCAGGCTAGGGGGGGAGGTTGTGAGCTCGGAGGGTGCTAGAACTGGGGGACAGGTTAGGGCCTAGAGCCTGGGAGCTGCAGGAGGGCCAAGAGTAGGCCCCAGGGAAGGAGTCTGAGGGTGGTGGGCCCTGAGGAGGGAATGTCTGAGCTTGAGAATGTAGCACTAGCACAGAAGGGACAACACACTCTCAGATGCTGCCTCTCGGGTGGGGAACTGGAGGTTGGGAGACAAAAGTCCTGGAGTCTAGGCAGCCAGGGAGGTGGGAGGCCAGGTGTACTCTTTCAGGCGGAAAAGTTTCCTTGTTCTGCTTCTGCTTTGGGGATTTATAACTGAAAAACAAGCTCATATTTTATAATGTCTAAAATGGTAATAACTCCCAATTCTGTGCATACTGGTATACTTAAAATGCAGTTTTATAAAAAGCCCAATAATTCAGGCACAGGCCTCAGGGCAAACACCCAGGGCGGCCCAGAACATGGCCCTGTGGTGCGGCGTCTGCCGATGCCGCGACCAATGATCTGAGGCTGCCCGCTCATTGCCATGGTGTTTTTTAGCAAATGTCCCCAGTGAGCTCTGGCTCATGAGTGGCTGAGCAGGCATCTCCACACTTACTTGAGTTCTTTCTTCACCTCTTCATAGTCAGCCTGTCCTTTGAGTTTTTCTTCCAGTTGCTGAAAACAGAGGAATTTTATTAGTCACCATGTCTGAAATAGGTCAATGGACTCTGCTATAAACCGAGTGTTTGTGTCCTTCTGCCACCCTCCCCTCTTCCTGGCAATGCATATGTTGAGATCCTCACTCCCACTGTGATGGATCTGGAGATGGTGATTAGGTCATGAGGGTGGAGCCCTCATGAACGGGATTAGTGGCCTTATAAAAGCGGCCCAGAGAGCTCCCTCGCCTATTCTATTCTGCCCTGTGCAGACACAGAGAGAAGAAGGCAGTCAGGGAGGAAGCTCTCACCAGACACCAAATTTGCCAGTGCCTTGATCTTGGATTTCCCAGCCTCCAGGACTGAGAGAAATAAGTGTTTATTGTTTACTAGAGGCCCGGTGCACGAAATTCGTGCGGGGGGGGGAGGGGCGGGGAGTCCCTCAGCCTGGCCTGCACCCTCTCCAATCTGGGACCCCTGCGGGATTGGGCCTAAACTGGCAGTCAGACATCCCTCTTGCAATCCGGGACTGCTGGCTCCTAATCACTCGCCTGCCTGCCTGCCTGATCGTCCCTTAACTGCCCCCCGTGCCGGCCTGGTTGCCCCCTAACTGCCCCCCTGCAGGCCTGGCCGCCCCCTAACTTTCCAAAAGGAAGTTGGACATCTGGAAGATGTCCGGTTGACCTGGTCTAATTAGCATATTACCCTTTTATTAGTATAGATAAGTTCCCCAGTCTATGGTATTCTGCTCTGGCAGCCAAATGGACTAAACAGATTTCACTGATTACATTCCCTGTAAAACATCCAGCGGTCCCTGAGAGGGAACACAAAAATGTACAAATGAAAGTTGATAACGTGTGGTGTCGTCTTTTGTTCTTTACTCTGTGGTCTGGTGTGAGCATGTATGTTAGTGGACACAGGCATTCACACATACACACACACATGTTAATATAAGGCTGTAACATAAAATTTGGAAAACAATAAGGAAAAGGCCATTTTGTACGAATACCATGAAATGACAAACAGAATTAAGAGACGCTCTGCTAGTATTGTAAAAACAGCAAGTGGCTTTTCACAAACCATGTTTGGCTAGCTGATGCATATAGTCAGTTGTTAACACCCTTGGTGGGACCCTGCAAACCAAAGATATAGCCCCTTTGTTGTTGAGGCTGTCATCAGATAGGCATCAGGAAAAAGCACTTGCAGGGGCTCTTAGGAGCAGAGGCCTGTTCAGCTGGGTGGTCAGTGTTTCCCTGACAGTTCTGAACCCTGTGGGGAGGGCCCTCCAAGGGTGCCCTGGCCAGCAGGGCCACAGCAGATCCCCTGATGGCCCTTCAGAGGAAAGGTGAGGGGTTCTGTCCAGGGGTGCAGGGGAGTGACAGCATATTTCCCAGGCAGGACGATGCTCTAATAGGCTCCATTAGAGTCTGTGTGCTCGCTGGGCATTCACTGACGGTTTCAGCACAGAGCTCGACAGGCTTTCTTGCCAGGCAGGCCTTTGGCATAGGGAGGTCAGCAGCTGCGCTTCCCTCTATGAAGGTGTTTTGGACTAGTTTGCTTTTTTCCCTCCCCATTAGGGAGCTCTGTAGGGGAAATAAGCAGCTTAATAAAAACACAAAGACCCAGGTTGCGGGGAAGGGTTCTAACGACTTAGCGTGTTTCCAAACCTGGGGTGAACAAATTCCTGGGCCTGAATCAAAGCACCTCTCCATCTCCAGGGCTTCCATTCGCCTTTGGCTTGACCAGCCACAACTACAATCTCAGTTTAAAGACATGTGGGAACATGTTGGAGTTGAGGGAGGAGATGCTCATGTGGCCATCAGCTTGGACATTTGCCCGAATCCCACCCTGCTCGCTGTTTCAAGAATTCAGGTGGTCTATAAACAAAAGTCATTTAGTCCACTTTTCTACTGCATTTACTGGCAGTTTGGTGTATTTTCCATTGCGTAAAATTGTGCTGCCCTAGTTCCTTTATAAGACCTCTTGCCAATGTTATGTTTATAATGGTTTCCCAGCCATAATCAAGCAGGGGGTAGCATGCACTCATTTTCTGACAAAAGAATCTCAGAAGGTGCTCATGAAAAAATGATTACTTCATTCTTCTCTTTATGGTGGAATAGCAGGAAGCACTAATGTGCCAACCCTCCCAAACAAAAGATTATCCAGTGCTGCTGGGATACAGAAATACCTTTCAGACTGAGGAATTCACTGACGCTGGATACGAAACACATAAAACTTGGTCATGTTCAGAGATCAGGAGAAAGGAAGAAAGGCAGCGAGAGGGGAAAACATGGAGCACTTCAGAACCCAGCATGTCAGTGAACCTGGAGTCAGTTCTGTCTCTTGCAACCTGGGTGACCTTGGACATGTCAATAAACTTCTGGTCTATAGAATGGGATAGCAGCAATGACCTTAAAGGGTTTAGCTAAGGGGCACAAAGGCAAGGACATGGTGCAAATGTTGGCACGGTGGGCCTCGGATGTGGGACCATTACCATCGCCAAGTCCCAGTCCACTTTCCTGAGAGCACAGTTGCAGGTCTTTTTTGCAGACCTGAGGTCGGCCCCGATCAGAAGGCTCTAGGACTGGAGTCTGTCATTTGGTTGGGTATAAGCATTCACTGAGGACTAAACAGCTTCCACTGAAATTTCTGCCACCAGCTTAATTAAGAACCCAAGACCACGCCTCTGAAGCTCTGACAATGTCTCTGCTCGTTGGGCAAATGGATGGAGGTCTGACCAAGCTTGTCCTGACCTGTGAGCACTTCAGCCTGTCCCCACAGAAGTCTCCACAGAGTGCCAGGAAGCACAGGTGGGGCTGACCACTGGCCTCTGACACCGTAAATGCCATCAAGGAAGAAAGACCAAACGTCCTCAGCTCAGTTCTGTGACTAAAAACTCCTTGCTGAGTACCTAGAAAGCCTACTTCCAAGCCTCAATCTGGAAAGGGCAACAGGTGCTTAACCTGCCGTTCTCACCAAAGATCCCTCTCTCAGAATCGCTAATGTTCACTGGGTAGGCCCAGTTCTATGCTTGGTTCTGCATCTTGCTATCTTACTTAATTGTTGCAACACCCTGCAGAGGCATCTATCTGCCCAAAGAAAGAAAAAGAATCACTGAGTTCTACAATCAGACCTCGTCAGAGCAGAGGCTGCCCTGCCCGCCTGCAGCAACTCTGAGAGGAAGTGAAAGGCTGGTGTGCTGAGGCCAGACAGTGCCTGCTGCAAGGCTGCGCTGAGCCTCACAGGCCGGACGGCAGCTCTCAGATGCAGGGAGACCTTCACAAGACACTTAACTTCTCTAGGCTTCAGTTTGTTCATAAATGGGGGCTGTGATGCACATAGTACCATGCTTCTGCGAGGCTTCAATGAAATAATGCATATTAAGTGCTTAGTGCAGTGCTTGGCACATGGTAAAGCACTCAGCAATGGCCGTTATTATTGTTTCCCTAGTTATTATTACTTTACCCTTGGATGTGACTAAATTGTTTCTGAAAAGGCTCTGTGGTTCTGAATCCAGGGGCTCTGTTTATGAGGTTCTCCACTTCCCAATGTCATCTCCCAATGTCCCCATTGTTCTGTGGCAGATACATGGGGAAGGAACACAGATGCCTGGACCGATTCTGGCTCTTAAGTGCTGATGGCAGGAAAGTCAGCCCCATATCCAGTTCCATGAATGCAGAATTTGGAAGCCAGATTATCTTCCTGAAAAGGTACTTATCTAAGCAACACACATGGGCTTTATACAGACAGGTGAGAAATGGCCACATGTCAGAAACAGGTTGCTAGCCCAGGCTGAGTTGTGACCTTGGGTGATGGGCTTAGCAAGCAAGCAAGCAAGAATGTACTGGCCGCAGCGCACACACTTGGGAGAGTGAAATGAAGAAGGACATAGAACGGTGGTTCTCAACCTTCCTAATGCCGCGACCCTTTAATACAGTTCTTCATGTTGTGGTGACCCCCAATTTCATTGTTACAAATTGAACATAATTAAAGCATAGTGATTAATCACAAAAACAGTATGTAATTATATATGTGTTTTCCGATGGTCTTAGGCGACCCCTGTGAAAGGGTCTTTCTATCCCCAAAGGGGTCGCCACCCACAGGTTGAGAACCACTGACACAGAAGAAGTAACAGGAGAATCTAGGCTGGGTTGCTTTGGTTCACTGAGAAGAAAGGGGGTTAGCCTGGGATGAGCTGCTACTGCTCATTGCTCCCCTGGTTGCAAATCTTGTGGGGTCCCTTCGAGTTTAGGAGAAGTAGGCCTGTGGGGGAAAGGAAGGGGGAAGACAATGGCACGGGGTTCCTGTAGGGGAGAGGGCACTATATGAAGTTCTTAAATTCCTGGCTAAGACTCAAATATAAGAAAATTTAATTTAAAGTGCAAAGTATTTTGGTGTGTAGCAAGTTAGGCACTACACTTATAAACGATACCTTAGTCAAGTTATACCACAGGGCTTTCCCTGCTCTGGGGCTGCCAACTTAAGGGGCCTCTGGCACGGGACACAAATACAAAGACCCTGGGAAAGGCCTCATCTTCCAGGCCACACAGCGCGGGGTCAAGGCAGCAACACCTCTTTGCAATAAACAGACTGTGGGCCAGAGAGGTGACTATGTTGCAGTTTGCAGACAGCTCCACCTTCCTCCTCCAGGATGATCAGAGCTAGGTTCTTGGCAGTGCTGTCTGGAGACTGACAGTTCAGGTGTCGGTGTGTGACGCCTGGTACTCAGCTGGAGCCCTGGGCTGAGGGGCCACCAGTCGGAGCTGAGCAAGTGTGACTGGGTTCCCTGGTCCAGGGCAGGGGTCTGAGGCATAGCTCCTGGGGTTGATACAGATTTTCTGGGGTCTAGGACTAGGCAGTGTAAGCCTCCTTTTCACCTAAATGGGGACCCCCTTCAGTCCCCACTGTTCCTCGGTGAGAGGTAGCATCTGCTGATGCTGGGCAAGGGGGAGAAGCCCAGGGATGGCTGGGTGGGCGCTGTGCACACATGGATGCTGAGAATTCAAGACAAAAAGAGGAGACCACAGGCCAGATAGGGGGTTGGCAGGGAGAGTGATGGCTATGTTGGAGCGCTTGCTGCAGGCAGGAGAAGGGTAGCTCTGGATAAAGGCCCTTCTATGGTAACCCTGTTACAGGTCACCTCCAACTTCCTCAAGCTGTGATCTAGGTGTGACCCAGGCACAGGGCAGAATGGTGTCATCACACAGCAGGAGGGTCCTGGCCCAATATAGGCCACCTGGACATTGCAAGTCATGGTCAGCTAAGGGTGCTGCAAGCTGGGGACTATGCAAGTGAAACACCAGGATTTACTCACAAGTGACTAGAGCACATGCATCTTCCTAAGAGGATTCATTGTAGATTCCCACAATTAGCTCCCTGAAGCATCTCCAGTAACACCCACTGGTTCACAGCGATTTACAGGACACTACTTGAAACCTCCAGCTCCTATATCAATCCTAGCACAGCCCCTTTGGTTTCTGGAGATTGCTCCCCCTAGGCCTCACCACTGCTCCCTGAGTGGTACCATCTTCGCCCTTCCTCCTCCCCAGGGAAAGCTCACTGTCCTTCCTCCAATCTGCTCACAGTGCCTTCAAGACCCAACCAGGGCGAGGCTCTGCGAGGCTCGGTCCTAGGCTCCTCTGCTTTCAGGATGCAGATGCTCGTGCCGTCCAGGGTAAGTCTCCCCTATGGTGGTGGGTGGGTGCAGTGGAGGCACATGCATGGGTCTCCCATATACAGCGCCGGGCTAGAAACTACAGGGCCTGGCCTCTCCTAACGTCAGTGACCTCCTCCACAAAGCAGTGATCATCATGACCGCTCACCTAGTGAGTGTCAAATGGGATGTGGATGTTAGAGCTTTATACACTGCGATGTTGCTAAGATGCTTGTTAAAACATGATAGAGGGCAGCCTTTATGCAGAGTCAACACACTGCCTGGTGAGGAAACTTATGTAACCAAAGAGGCAGCGTTCAGAATTAAAGGCATGGAATGACTGTAGAGAAGCAGTAATCAGTCTTTTGTTCCTGTCCAACCTCCTGAGGGACACAGCAAGCTCTACAGCGGCTCAAGAGGACCACCAGCACGTCAGGAGGTGGGGTGAGGGACCCAGAGGGTTGGGGAGGCATGCGCAGCTTGGAGACAGTCCTGCAGGTCACTGTAATACACCTGCCCAAAGATGTAATTTCTCCCTATGGGAGACTGGCATCCTTTTAGCTATCTTTTCTCATAAATATAATTTTAAATGGAAGCTTTTGGAAGCATTGTTTTCTGTGCTATAGTGAACATAATGTAGGTGACTGCCTAATCATACTGCCTCTATTTTTAAAAAATTTATTTTATTTTTATCTTCACCCAAGGAGAATATTTTTCCCATTGATCCTCTACAGAGAGTGGAAGGGAGAGGGGAAGGGGAGAGAGAGAGAGATAGAAACATTGATGTGAGAGGGACACATTAACCCTTGCCTCCCACACATGCCCTGGGGGTGGGGAATGAACCTACAACCTAGGTATGTGCCCTTGACCTGAATTGGACCCTCGACCCTCTGGTGTGCATGCAGGCTGATGCTCTAACCACAGAGCACACTGGCCAGGGCTATACTGCCTCTGTTTTCAAGTATCCCAACAGAAGACCACAGAATAGAGTTATCAAAAATAGCAGCCCTGTAACAGCAGTGGGTTATTTCATCAATTACGAATACAGAATTGTACGTTACAAGTAGCACTGTGCTTGAGCACTGGTAGGTGAAGCAGGAGGAAACATCTCCTGCTTCTGAGTCTATTTCCATGTCTATTTGACTGTATACGGAGAGTGATGCGTTTATGGTGAACTTGGCTTGAAAAAGCGAAACACGGGGAGGGAAAGACTGGTAAACATCCAACTGTCAATTTAGCCCCAAAACATCACAAATCAATTGTCTAAGACTAAGTGAAGGGAAGAATCTAAATCACAGAGATTGGGAGCTTCAAGGAGTTAAGGCAGGTGACCAAATTAGCCCCCAGAGCCATCCCATTACAGACAGCACCACAGTGTGCCGGCAGAGAGACCAAAGACTCCCAATCATCTCAAGTCTCAAGATTCTGCCCTTATGCCGCCTGCCCTTGTGACACCAACTGCCCACATTCCACCGGTGACTGCCATTAGCATTTGCCTCAAAGGCCATTGTTAATGTTCATGGCAAAGCACCCACAACTCCAAGATGCTGATGTGGCTGGAAGCTGCAGCATCCTCAGACTGATCCCAATTTGAGCCCCACACAGTGTCCCCAAAGCTGGACAACATGGTCCAAGATGGAAAGGGCTGGGGGGAAGGGGAGGAAAGGGGTGGGGAGGGAGGAGGAGAGAAGAGCCCCGGGAAGTTCAGGGACGGCTCACTGCTGCTTCTGTGCAGCCACCACCACTGGGTCACAGACCCCTGTTGCAAAAGCATCGGGCTGTCAATATGACAGGCCTCATTCATAAAATAGTTTCCTAATAATTGTACCGCTGCCTAGTTTAGATTTGAGACTATAAATTATACACATTAGGGGGGGAAAGAGCCCTGGGAAGGTATCTCATTCAATTAACCTTACTCCTTTGGGGAAGGCTAATGCCTTTTGTGTGTAGGTTCGATATTGGGGAGGTCTTCACTCCTGGCGAGAAGGGGTTAAGATAATTAAAACCAGAGAGGTCTTGTTACTAGAGGATATGTTTTGATTATTAGATCAGATGAAGATAAGGGAGCAATAATTTTGGAAGAAGTATTGCCGAATTGTTTCATTAACTGCTCAGTATTAAAGATTTCCCCCAAGATATGGATAAAGAACATTAATTTGTGAAAACTGTGTTTCATTTTTTGTGAAGGCAAACATTAAAACCTTAACTGGTTTAGAGGAAATTGCTCTAGAATAAAAAATGCAAGCTCTACAGCCTCCCTCTTATGAAGTCCAATGCAGAATGCATTTGAGTCAAACCCTTTAATGGTAACAGAGGAGAGAGAAAGGCAAATTATCTAATAATAATGCCAATGCTAGGGTCAGAAATAGCTGTAACATGAGAAAATTAGATTTAATCTAGAAATAAAAAATGAGCACTAGTACTCACTGAGCAGGCTGATGAAAGAAAAAGACACAATGAAGAAATAAATGCCATGGCTGATGACAAATGTGACTAGGCCTCACACATCTTCCCAGTCACAGGACTATCTCCCCCAAGAAGCCCAACCTGGCAGTTTCTTGGGCTGTGGATGAAACCTATCCCAAAGAGGCAAAGGAGAAGCTAGCGAGGGAGGGCTGTGGGTTCTGCCAGTGCCAGCGAGTTGCCATGAGGACAGACTTGTTGGTACTTAGCTCTGGGTCAGAAACATGGTCATGTGTCAAGAAGAAAACTTTCAATGACAAAAGAAAATCAAGATGGCCCTACGACATTCTAGAATTACTCTATATAAGAAAAAGTTGTCCTGACATTTTTATAATTAAGCTTGATCCACCTTATTTAGCATACAATGATTATACTTGGCATTCATTCATTCATTCAATCACGCATCCCACAAATGGATGCTGAGTGGGGGGGCAGGCGGAGGCCCAAGTGGGCCTTGTGGAGGGACAGCAGAGTGGAGAAGGGGAACGTCTGGCCTGGGAGCAGGGGCCAAGCCTGTGCTGGTAAGATACTCTGAGGCTCTCTGACTCCGACATGCTAGGAATCTAGGGTCCCAGGACTATCTTCAAATTACACTAAGTAACTTCAAATGATAGGAAATAGCTTAAGTAAAGTATATATATTTCAATATAATGAAAAAGATTCCAGGTTCTGAATTTGGGACACAAAGTTATGAGAAACCTCAGGAGGACCTAGCTTTTGTCTGGGCTGCTGTGATTCTGCCTGGGAGGAAAGAGGCCAACTGTGTGAGCTGTGTTGAAGTAACACATTGTAGGCAGCTGTGGTGTGTCCCAGGCCTGAGGGACAAAAAATGATCGTGCAGCTTGAGAGTAAGGCCCAGGGGGCTCGAGTACCTCTTGCTTTCATTTCATCTGGGCACAGGCAGAGGTCACATTTCAGTGTGCCTGGGCAGCCCAGCAGAGCTGACTAATGGCATGTCTATGCAGACAGCCTGCGAACTTGACAGCCCCTCTCACCCACCCAAGAAGCACACAGAGCCTCCAGGTCCAACACTGCCAGCCACAGCTCTCAGGTAGAAAAGCAGTGCCGTGGGTGGGCGGGCACTGAGGATGGGGTTTCTACCAAGTGCTGAAGGTGCTGCCCAGGCTGGAGCTGGCAGAGGGGTTCAAAGCCCACCTCCCTGCCTTGGGTGCCAGGACTCTGCTTTTAGCTGCTTCACAGAGGTTCAAGGTTGCCATATTTGTTGACAATTCCAGATGTGATGCCTTCCAAAAAAGAATTCTGATGGAATTTAGACACCCATGCTTCTGACTGAGGTCCTCCAGGAAGCCTCATGCCATGTCATTCTGTTCTGACTGGAGGGAAAAACTTGTTGATGGTTGGAGCTCAGACTAAGAAATATCCAAGCAGTCACTTTTGCTTTTAAAAGAGATCGAATTTTAACCATTACCTTTGCAGACCACTAAAATGAGAATACCTGTGCAATCAAGGCAGGGCCAGGAAGGCAGTTTCTGAGATAAGGCCTCCTGCCATGGTCACTACACCCATTGGGCATCCCAGACGCTGGGCAGAAGCGACCATTGAAGAGCTCTCAGGGTGTCGGTGGGGAGCCAGAACCATCATTGCAGGCCAACCCCAGGCTCCCTCCAGGGCCGTGTGCGGAGGAAAGCAAAGGGTACGCAAGTGCACGTCCAGCCCTCCCTTGCCCGCCGGCCCCCACAGTGTCCTTACTTTGAGCGTGCTGTTCTTGGCACTCAGCTGCTGCTCGAGCTGGGAGATCTGGCTGGCGGAGTTCTCCCGCCGCTTGGTGAGGCTAGCCTGCAGTCTCTGCATGTCCTCCACCAGCTGGGCGATTTCCCGCTCTTTGGCGGCCAACTCAACTTCGAGGCTGGAGCGGGTCAGCACCTCTATGGCCTGCTCCTGGGAAGGAGAAAGGAAATGACAAAACTGCACCAGCTCAGGCAGGTGCTGGGGTTAGCTGTGCTGGCAACCGCGGCAAAAACAGGCAGATGGGAGGATGTGGACGGTGAGCTCATGGTAAGACATTACTTCTTGCCTCTGCTTGGAAGGATCTACTGACTGCCTTCCCTACACCACCCTTCCATCCTCACGGTGAGCTGCCATCCATCGGGTTTGTCCACTCAACAAGCATTTATGAGTATCAGGCACACAGCAGTGGACAAAAGGGTGGATGTCCCTTTCTTCATGGAGTTTCTAGTCAGTGGGATGGGTGGGTGGGTGAGTGCACTAAATGCATTTATTAGCAGCATAAAATGCCAGAGAAAAGCTGAAACAAGAGGTCATGGGGTCAGACTTCAGAGAGGCAGTTGGGGTTTTTAATAAGATGGTCAGTAAAAGCCTCATGAGATGGTGATATCTGCTAAGATCTAAAGGAGGCGACAGCAAGCGCCTTGCTGGTGGCTGGGGATGAGTGCTTCAGCCAGGGGAATGACAAATGGGAAGGCTCTGGAATGCTCCAAAGCATTCAGATGTTCTCCCACCAGAAGGGACTCAATGTCTTTTGGTTCCTTACAGAGCTATCTAGATGCTATGTTGTTTGACAAATTGATTTTAAGACTCAGCATTTTAATAAGAGTTAAGAGATGTGGAAGATGCACATTTGGGATTTCTTTGCTTAAAAATTCTTATGATGATTGATTTTTTTTTTTAAATCCTCACCTGAGGATATTTTTCCATTGATTTTTTTTAGAGAGAGTAGAAGAGTGAGGGAAAGACAGAGAGAAATATTGATATGAGAGAAACACATCGACCGGTTGCCTCCTGCATGAGCACCAACCAGGGCCCGGGCCAGGGAGGAGCCTGCAACTAAGGTATGTGCCCTTGACTGGAACTGAACTCAGGACCCTTCGGTCTGCAGGCCGACACTCTATCCACTAAGCCAAACTGGCTAGGGCTGTGGTCGGCAAACTGCGGCTCGTGAGCCACATGCGGCTCTTTGGCCCCCTTAGTGTGGCTCTTCCTAAGCCTTAGGAGTACCCTAATTAAGTTAATAACAATGTACCTACCTATATAGTTTAAGTTTAAAAAATTTGGCTCTCAAAAGAAATTTCAATCGTTGTACTGTTGATATTTGGCTCTGTTGACTAATGAATGAGTTTACCGACCACTGGGCTAGGGTATGATGATTGATTTTTTTAAAAAAACTTACCCCTTCCCCAATTTGTTCATTGTGAAAAATATGTAAAACAGGGAAAAGATATTAAAAAAAAAGAGAGAGAGAGAGAGAAATTAAATCTGTAATTCCACTTCCTAAGGACCAAAGTAGTGCGTTTTCAAACTTTTGAAAGTAATGATGGCTCCTGAATGATTCTGGAAGCTTTCCTGCAGGGTGGATATACTTGGGGGCATGGCAACGGGAATGGGGAGGATAAACCTGCATGTGACAGCAGAGACTCAGGGCAGCTCACACTGCAGTGTGGAATGAATGCCATCACCCTCGCTGTCATCTGCTGCATGCCCCTGACTAGGGATTGAACCTGCAACCTGGGCATATTGAGACGGTGCTCTAACCAACTGAGATACCAGGCCAGGGCTCACTTCACGCCTTGATCTTGCCTATACTGGGGTAGAAAACAGCAGCTGCGCCCTAGCCTCTTTGGCGCAGTGGAAAGAGCATTGGCCTGTGGACCGAAGGGTCCCGGGTTTGATTCCGGTCAAGGGCACATACCTCAGGTGCAGGCTCCTCCCTGCCCATGCCCTGGTCAGGGCTCGTGCAGGAGACAACCAATCGATGTGTTTCTCTCACATCAATGTTTCCATGTCTTTCCTGCTCTCTAAAAAAAAAAATCAATGGAAAAATATCCTCAGGTGAGGATTAAAAAAAGAAGAAAAACAAACAAACAAACAAAAAAATGGCAGCTGCAGCCCCAGTTGGCAGGGACAGCCATGCCACTCTATGCATGATGTGCCTGTTACGGGGTTTTCACCTTTGGGGACAGCGAGTCACCCAGGGAAATAATTTTACACATCACCCTCCTGGGAAACTAAGGCCTTTACCATTTAAGAATGTAAAGTTTTATGTGCAAAGAAATGATTCTTTTCTGTTTCTTTGATTTGTATAATATCGATTAGAAATTAAAAAATAAAAACAAAACTCTCCTTTACCACAGAGTTAGGGGAGCACCACCCTGGATCACACTGGGTAGATCAAGGTCAGGGGCCTAAGACAAGTCTTCTGGCAGCGCCAGGGGTTAGCACCTAGAACAGTGAAAGAAGCACGCGGAGGTGAACCCCAAGGTGGGAGAGAAGGGCACAGTGGGACAGGGCTGGTGGGTCTCATCAGAAGGAAGAGGGGCTCCATTCGAGTGGATACCACAGAAGGGCACAGAGGTTGGAAAGGGCATGAAGCTGGCACAAGGAGGGACTGATGCTGAGAGGCCAGCTCGGAAAAGGGCATGTTGGTGACCGACAGAATGGTCAGCGGGTGCCAAAGCTGCCTGGACTGGTGGCACAGGCCTGGGGTGTGTGGGGGCACAATGGCAGTGACATTCGGAGAGGTTGGTCTCAGGGTGGGGTAGAATGAACCATGTTATCTAATTTAACTTATTTATTAATTTTCCAACCTGAGGGATGCCAGCCATAAAAACTGTTTCAAGTGCTCTTAGGGGAAGAGTCTGTAAAACAAGCCAAAAGGTGATCTGCGCTTTGCAACAGGCAAGCAAGTTACTATATCAGGGGCAAGTGGTTCAAACAATACAGGGTGGGCAAAAGTAGGTTTATAGTTGTGAATATATGAAACACAGAGTTTATACTTATATTATTATTTTCCATATGAAAACTATAAACCTACTTTTGCCACACCCTGTATATATAAAAACAGCAGCTCTCGGTGTTGAACCTGGGCCCAGGATGGGAACCTGGCATAGGCAGTCCCAGAGGGCCATCTGCCAAACTCCTGAGGCCCAGTGTGGCCTGGCCACAAGCTGACTGTGTGAACTAACTCAGGAACCTGGGCCACAGATTCCTCATTTATAACATAGCAAAAACCAATCGAGTCTTGCATAAACTAAATGAGATGAGGTGAATTACCCCAAAGCAGTAAGGCCTTGGAAATCCGATAGAAAAGATCACCCTACTCCAAGCCCAAATGTGGCTCACTCTCCTCTCACACACTAGGACATCCTTGTTGTCTCACTGTGAAGACACATGGGAGACTAAGAAAGAAATGAACAAGGTCCCAGGAAATGATCCACAGGCTGCAGGTGGAGCGGAGGCTTGCGCCTGGTGCCAAAGCTGGCGCCTCTCAGTCTGAGGACATAGCTAGAAAGGAAGTTATATGACAGGGCGAACAGGGGCTGAGAGGAGGGGTGGCCTTTACAGCTGCAGAGAGGTTGGTGCCAGGCGGCTCGGATGCTGCTGATATGATTGCTGAGAGGTGAAGCATCCATGGATTTGAAGAAGCCCAGGACCACAGGTTCCCTCGTGTCTATCCAGGCCTCTAGCCAGCTGCACCTGAGCCACTTGGGGGCTTTAGAAAACATATGGGTTCTGGGCCCCACTCTGGAAACCATGGTTCCGAGGGTTTGGAGTAGGGCCTGGGATTCCCTGGTGATTCTGGTAGGGTTTGGGGTCAGAACCCTGACTTGGACTTTAGCCTCTAAAGCAGTGGTTCTCAACCTGTGGGTCGTGACTCCTTTGGTGGTCGAACGACCGTTTCACAGGGGTTGCCTAAGACCATCCTGCATATCAGATATTTACATTATGATTTATAACAGTAGCAACATTACAGTTATGAAGTAGCAACGAAAATAATTTTATGGTTGGGTCACAACATGAGGAACTGTATTTAAAGAGTCAGAAGGTTGAGAACCACTGCTCTAAAAGAAGGGACTGACTTTTATTCAAGTGACAAGAGGCCCCTGTGGGCACCAGAGTGAGGTCCTGAGAGTCTGTCCCAGCAGAGATAGTCCCATGACCCAGGCTTCCAAGGCCTGTGAGGGCACCCTACATTCCTCACGGGGGCTGGGTCTCAGGTGTGGGGGGCACTGATGGCTCAGGAGCCAGGAGAGGATACGTGGGAATGCTCTGTAGAGTCTAAGAACATTATAAAAAAAGGAAGGGCTTAAGATGATGATAGTGTGTGTGTGTGTGTGTGTGGGGGGGGGGTGTTTCCAAAGGGAAAAATTAACGAGAAAACAGAAGTTACTGACGTACTAGTCCATTAAATTTTGTCCCTTTGAACCCATTCACCTCCTCTCTCCCAACCTGCTTGTGTGAAATATCATAAGTTGTGCAACTGTCTAGTGAGTCCTCCTACTGAGATTAGAACATCGAGGCTGAAATAAGCTAGATAATCATCTTTTATCCTGCAGCCATTTTCATATTAAATATGAATGAGATGCAGGAGCGCTACTCAATGTGAGGAAAACCTAATTGTGAAATGATGGTGCGCATAGGACCCTAGCCTGTGAGACAGATCCTTGGAGTCGAGGCTGATCGTAGCTCTATTTGCTCCAGCGGGAAAGATGAGAGAAGGGCAACTTCAGCTGCTTCTCTCGCACTGCCACCTCCATTCCTGCCAACGCCAAGCGGCTGAGGTAGGCTGGGTCTATGCAGTGTGTGCACCTGATAGACTCACCTGAGAGACAGAAAGGTACACTTCCTAATATTACGGTTTGCTTAGGTTCAAGAAGGTGAACGAATAATATTTGTCTTGTAACTACCTGACAAAGGACCTGCAAGTATACTATTCCATTTAATGTGCATGAAGGTGGGGTAGCTGGATGTGGGGTAGCTGGACTTTGGAGTAGGACAAACTTATGGTCAAATGCCAGTTTGACCATTTTCTAGCTGGGTGACCTTTGGCAAATTACTTAACTCCTCTGAGCCTCTCAGTTCCCTTCCCTGTGGTACGAGGATGCTAAAACCTGCCTCGAAAGACCCGGTGTCACGAGGCAGCAATGAAGCAACCACACAAAGCCCCAGCAGGGCCCCTCACGCAGAGCAGGCACTCTGAGTGGCAGCTCACCTTCCAAAACTGGCAATTCCAGTAAGACACCCAGTAGATCGGTCTGGGCCTTTGCTAGATCTATAGAGTCTACTGTTTCTCTCCTGAGTCCTGCCAGCCAAGCCCAACAGACATTCCCCTGCTGGCCCAGTTTCCGGTGCTTGCTCCCTGGCTGGCTGAGCTGACTGTGGGAATGCACACCCGAGGAAGCCTGGCAGAGCCGCTCCTGGAAGACTGAACCTGTGCCATGTAAACACTGCACTTAGCCGATGATGAAGTGTTTAAGCACCCCTAGGATCCACAACTTACTCTACCTGCAAAAACATCCATTCCCTTCTGAAATGTTTTGGTTGCTACAGTCCAGGATGGTGACAGAAATGCTTTCAATCAAGGCACTGAGCTCAGGAGCCCTGTGTGGACACATTGGGACGGACGGCTTTCTTCTGAGGACCAGCATTCACCACGAAGGCCAGGAGAAGCCACACTGACTCCATCTTCGAGGGCTTCCTCACTGTGACACTGGGGACAGTCCACGTAAACTTGGAGGAGGGGACGTTGACAAGCCAAGGGCCATTTCAGGTAAAATTAGAACCAGAGTCTGTGAAGCATGAAGGACGTAATGGTTCCTAAATTGAAGAACTTTTCTCCATATCCTGAGATACTTAAATCATGTTTTACTGAATGTTAATGTAAAGAAAGAAAACAAAAATCCATTCTTAAAAGAGGTCCTGAACTAAAACTTTGCTTTAGATTCATTCCTGAGGAATAATTTAAAAGTCCTAGTCTAAGGTGGCAGAAGCTCCCCCGCCCTCGAATCCTGGCGTGGCCACTGGGCCCATGCATTCCGGAGCCGGGGCTTACATTCACAGAGCTTCCATTTCTTCACCTCCATAAAGAAATAACAAAACCCCACTTACGGGGCAGGTGGAATAATGGCTGTCAAACTGACTTGTGCCCAACTGACACATGCTCACTACAACCACAAGCCTTCCTGATTCGACTGCTCTCTGGGAAGGGCCTGGCTCGTGCCTGCTTGCTCTCCCAGTGCCTACCATGGGCCCGGCACACAGCACGGGCTCTGTAACTCTGTGTTAAGGAAAAGGACACCTGTGAGTGCAGTTCACTCATCATAGGCTGTCAGAGCTGAAGGTACCTCAGGATCACTTATTCCTCACTCTACACACAGGAACACTGAGGTCTAGGAAGTTTAACTCCCCGGATGTGTACAAAAAGTGACAGAACTGAGCTTCAAAACCAGGGTTCCTGAATCACAGATAATGATGCCAACCACATAAAAGTAATTGCTAAGGTTTCCTGAGGACTTTTATGTGCCAGTCTGTGCTTTGCTCAGATTTCTGAAACCCTTGTAAAAACCCATTTTACGCATGATGAAATTGAGACTCAGGGAGGTTAAGTGACTTGCCCAAAGTCACAGAGTTGGGGTCTGAGCCCAGGAGTGTGGCTCCCATATCCAGGTCTTAACTAGATGCTGCTCCATATAACTGCTCAGCACTGAAGGAAAGAGTCTAGAATCTGATGGCTGTAAGCCGCCCCGATCAAGCTGGGAAAGTTCCAGCTAAGAGAAATTTTTATTAATATTAGAAAAACCAAGAGGTGAAAGCACTGGCATGAGTGCCTTACTCTTCCTGAATGCCTACACGTCAGGCAAGATTTGGGGGATTTGACTCAGAGTGGGTGCTACCTTATTATCTCCTTGGCTTTCCCAGCTCATCATGAAATTTTTCTCACTCTGGAAGAACACATTCAGGAGAAGACCAAACCTCCAATTTTCCTGTGTAATTTTGGCAAAGCTCCAGTTTCAGATCTCCACCCATCTGCCAGCCGCCACCCCACAAGCCTAGCTGGGAAGACGCTCCCTTTGGTGATGGGATCTGTCTCCACCTCCACGCTGGGCGGGCGTCACGCTGACCACAGAGCATCGACGCAGAATCAGCAAAACTCTTCCTTTGACTCTAACAAGTTCCATCCCCAAATTGTTAAAAGCATTCCCCACCAAGACAGCAGTATTGCTTAAAACAGTCCAAAAAGGGACGTTAAAAAGCAAAGGAAGAGAGCCGCTGTAACAGAGGTACAGATGCCAGGCAGACAGAGTCCCCACAGGGCCCAGCTACCCACCACGTCCGGCGCCTTCTGGATCTGCGAGGCCAGCTGGAGAGAGTGGTTGGCTGACGAGAGCTGCTCTCTTAAGGTCTCCGCCTCTCTCTGAGCCACCTCTGCCCTCTGAAGGAAATGAAAAGGGTGAGAAGAGAAAGTACATTCAGTTTAACAACTGACAATTATTACAAGAACATTCATCAATTCATGCCTGACTGACTATAATTGATTTTCCTAAACACTCAACCTAATAAATGCTAGAAAAAAACATAGAATGTGATGGATTTTTATTTTAAACAGTACAAGGAAGAAATAATTGAGCGATTATGACAGTAATTTAACGCTAGGAGCAAGGAATCCCCTGCTGATAGTAATGCTCCGGCCCACTGAATTTCCCAGACTGAATAAATACAAGTGGAAATGGAGTCTTTTGATTCAATTTCTTTCTCTTCTCATAGACCAAGAAGATTTTATTGCAGGATTACTCCTGGGAGTAATTCTCACGGGTAAACAGTGAATTAAAGACACTCTGGCCATTCTCTTCCTAAAAACATGCACAATGTTGTGGTTGTTTTCCTTCGGCAAGTATTTCCATAAATGTACAGGGTGTAAATGCCACTTCTTTTGTGAGGGCCAGGCTTATTTCAACATATTTAACCCTTCACCCGACAAAGGTTTCTAATGCCGATGCTGCCATTCCAGCCAGCAAGCCAATTTGGGGCCAGAGGCAGGAGGGTGGCCAGGCCCACTGAGGGTGGGGAGGAACAGAGCTGACTACAGGAAGGAGGTCCAAGAGAAATGAGTAAACACTTCTATCATTTGCATGTAATTCCCAGCCAAGGAAACCAATGCCACTGGATAGCCAATCAGGATTTCCCACTGAATGGCAAGAATAGGTCACCCTAGTGTTTGCCACGTGAGAGGCACTGTGGTGCAGTGGGCAGAGGTTGGGTATTTGGGGAGAGAGGGACCAGGGCCAGTTACCTAACTAAGCTTCCACCTTCCCATCTCCAAAATGGAAACGCCGCCTCGCTCTCAGAGACCTCGCAAGGATTAACATCTGCAGAAGTGCACGGTACATAGAGCTCATTCAGAAAGGTTTTATTAATGGGCTTGTCCTGAATTTACAATTACAATGAGATGAAACTCTAAGGTGGGTGAGAAACGGTAGCTAATTCACATTGGACACGCAGGCTGAGAAATATCGTGCTCATTCTTTCTACCAGACTTACATTCTGCTAATAGAAAAGATTAACGAGAAAAGCCTGGCTGAGCAGGGCTATTTCATGTGTTTTCTCATTTTGTGGTGTGACGTTATGGGTCTACTAATTGCTAAGAAAGACTGAAAAAGATAAACAAGAAGTTAGCCTGCCCCAGTACTTGCTGATCAATCTTGTTGTGTAAGAACAGGCCGGCAGCTTTATCCCATCATGTGACGGCAGCACAAATCTATCTGCTCTGCCTACAGACAAATTAGGATATTCCCAAGAGCAGTTACTTCTGTAGGGTGGTGCTGGTGGCCGCCTGCCCTGCTTCTCCAGGAACTCTTGGAATTGCACTCAATCTAATTCACACGGCGCCTGGCCAGGCCTGTCTGTGCTCAGGAGTCACCTCCCTCCCTCTCTGCTCCAGAGACTCTAGAACAGTGGTTCTCAACCTTCCTAATGCCGTGACCCTTTAATACAGTTTCTCATGTTGTGGTGACCCCCAACCATAAAATTATTTTTGTTGCTACTTCATAACTGTAATTTTGCTACTGTTATGAATCATAATGTAAATATCTGATATGCAGGATGTATTTTCATTGTTACAAATTGAACATAATTAAAGCATAGTGATTAATCACAAAAACAATATGTAATTATCCATGTGTTTTCCGATGGTCTTAGGCGACCCCTGTGAAAGGGTTGTTCAACCCCCAAAGGGGTCACGACCCACAGGTTGAGAACCGCTGCTCTAGAAGCACCCACCAGGAAAGGCGGCAATGTGCCCGTGTGGCGAAGATGGCAAGGTGATTTCTAGTTCATGCTAACTGCAGGAAAGTCTTTTCAGTGAGAAAGATTTCCCAAGGTTATATCTAAACGTGCCACTCCAAGTTTCTTCTGATAAACATGTCCTATTACGGAAAGTTTACTCTTCACTTTCTAGTTAGCTAAACCCTTGGGCATAATGTCTCCATGACTTTGCCAGGAATAAGGTGCATTTTGACACAGTTGTAGTCCCGTTGCCTAGGAAAAATATTTCTTAGCCTGGTGGAGGTGTTCTGGTAGCAGCCAGGCGGCAGCATCACTGCCCACCCTGTCTGGCAATGCTGGCTCCGAAGTGCTCCGGAACCACCAGGGCTCGGCAGCCTGGGCAGGAGGTCCCCGACCAGGATCTCATGCAGGCATTTAGCTGCTCAGAGCAGAGTGCTGTCTCATCAAAGGCCAGTGGCTCACAGAACAGGGATCTAGCTGCTGATGATTTCACCCTTGGTTTGCATAATTTTTCCAGAGCTGCTGTACTTCATTCCGTTTCCAAGTTCATGTACAGAGTGGCTGTGACCTTTCCATGCCGGTCACAGCCGCTAATCACATTTGGCTTGGCTACTCCACTGCAGCTTTGTGATTGTTTAGAATATGTATTGTTTATTTAGGCTTTATACCTTGAGTACATAAAAAACAAAACAATAAAAAAAATGAGTTGAGGTGGTTTGTGCAGCCAAACATGGACTAAGCTGAGCAACTGAAAATGAAACAGGACTGAGAGTGGCTGAGAGGGAGATTCTGTAGTTGTAAATTTAGTCCCGTCTTTGGCAGCTGAGGCAGAAAGGGGTACTATGTCGGGTCGGCACCGTGGTGTCACTTGTTTCTGGGGTCTCCCATCTTCCCACTGTCCACAGACCTATCAGATAAAGTCTGGTTGTTTCTAGAACTGGAATCAATGGCAGGAGATGGAAAACTCTGGTGCTGTTTTCTGATCTGGAACCTCAGATGTGGCTGCTATGAGGCAGACACTCCATTCTGTTTCCACTGGTGGGGTCCCTCCTCCCCTGTCCCTCCAGAGGCAGAGCCTGGGGACCAAAGCCAGGGCTCCCACCGGCAGCTGGTGACAGCGCTGGGTGTGGTTTAGTGGCCACCCCATGGCAAGAACAGCGCCTTGCCTGAGCTGCTCTCCCGGAGATTCCGCTTGCTGGCTGTTGCTCACTTTCTTTACTTTTCTGAGAAGTGAGAGTAAATGCTGGAAGTAAAAGAGGAGCTAGAGCCTGAGGTGACCCCACTTCAGTGATTCTATAGGAGAGAGGTGAGGAAGCTCTACTAAGAAATTTATTGCCATGTGTCCCAATAAATGTAGCCCTGCACTGGCAACCAAAGTCCCCGGATAGACCTGCTGCCCATGTTTCCAGGACTCAGCACGCATTGGTTTGGATTTCTTTCTCAGGTCAGCCAGGCTGAACGCTGGAACTACAAAGGCTACCCATGTAAACCTTACTTGTGACAGCCTGAATCAACTTCAGGAAAGCCAGAGGAGCCAATTTCCCTATCTCCTCCTGCCCCAGGGACTCTCTCTCTCTCCATGTCTTGAGGCCCACCTGACCTGACCTGGGAGCCCAATTTATCACACGAAGAAACCAATGTTCCCAGGAGACCCAAGGAGTGACCAGGGGTGCACACATGGCCAACTTACTGGCAAAGAGCCCAGGTGAGACCAGCACCTCCAGCAGGGCCTGCTCGCAGCAGGTGCTCAAAACTATTTGTTATATGACTGGGGGTTTGATGGGTGGGGGAACTCTCAGAGGTGTGAATGCTTACCTCAGTCTACAGGTAGGGAAGCATGTGCTGGGAGACAGGATTTGCTCAAGGCCACATGGGTGGGAAACGGGAGATCTGGGATTCAAACTCCCCACCAGAACACAGAAACCTTGGTCAAAGAAAATGCCACGCCTTGCACTGAGTTCTTTTTCTCTTTGCATTTCTCTCAATCTTGACTCCTCCTCCTTAATGGAGTTAAACTGTGGTTTCCAACTGAACCACCACATGAGAGGGTCTTCTGTTAGGGTAGTCTCTTCCTTAACCATCAGGCAGGTGGCAGGAGGGGGAGCACTTGCTGAGAGAAGGTCCTCCCGCCCTGCTGGGGCTGCTCTGAAAGGAAGGGCGGGTGGAGGCGCAGCCAGAGAAGCCAACCCAGTCACTAGGCCCACAGACAGTGTTTCATGTGGTTGGAGAGTACACAGTTGTGGTTTCTTATTTCCTATGAAGTCTCAAAGGTTCTGAACCTTTATTGCCACCAATTACGACAGTATTAATGCAAGTGCCTTGAAGTTTAACAAACAGGTGCAAATGAGACCGGACCTAACTGATGGTCGGTAGTGGACCCTCTTCTACTTCACACCAGACGCAAAAGCACTTCAGCAATAAAATAGAGCTGCAGGTCTCAGCAGTACACCGTGACTACAAAGCTTGTGCAAAAATACTGTTATATGCCAATGAACTAGTAAACTGCTCCTCCTGGGGGTTTCCCCTGATGGGGATGGGAAAGGCGGCTGAACCAGATGTCTGGCTGTGCCCATGCTGGTGTGTGGCCCTCTGTAGACCTCCTCCTGCCCAGTCCACCTCCACTCAGCTCCACTGGGACCGCCTCACTTCAGGCCCATGTCTTCTTTGCCTCGATCTATCACAACAGCTGCTTACTGCTCCCCTGGCTTCCGGTCTTTCTACCCCCATTCATTCTCCAATGTATAGCCAGAGTGATCCTTCTAGGACTCATCTGATACCTTACTTCCACCCATGATTCCACACTGCTCTCAGGATGAGGTCCTCCACACACCTGACTGGATCCCTTGCTATGGGCCCACTCTCCCTCTCTGAACCTCATGGTTCTGGCTTATGGAATGGCCTACACACCCAGAGCTCATCATGTCCCTCCTCGCCTGCCTGTATGCGTCCTCATGCCTCCCTGGGGAGTTTTTCTCCTTGTGAGTCGTCCTCGTCTACCCACTGAGCCACCTAGTTCAATCCCTCTGTCCATTCATACTCTGTCTGATGCCCCATCTCATATTCTCAGTGAGGGTTGGCCAGCATTGGCCTGCACAATTCTGGTGACAGGGAGCTCACTCCCTTCCACCAGCCTCTGAACTCAGCCATGAAACAGCCAGACCCCTTCTCCTGGCCAGCCCTGAGGAGCTACAAGGACACAATTTACCATGTCCCCGCACTAGGCCTTCCCCTGTGTAATCTTTTAGCATCCTACATTCCTGAAATTATTCCTCTGGAGCTTGGTGTCGAGTCCCTCTGTGGTCTCTCTCTGCTCCCCAAAGATCAGGAATATCCTCAAACCTCCTGGTGTCTTTTGTGTTAGGGTCCCTTCCCTGTCCTGGCCACAGAGGGGACTCTGAATGAACTCCATGTACCTGCTTTCCTTACAGTGTGAGTTCCAGGATCAATTCTTATTCCCTGGGGATGAACTAAATGCTGCAGGTGGTGTAGAATCACCACCTCCTTCATTCTGGAAACTATTTCTATTAATGTAGCCTGAGGCTGCAATGATTTATTTTGGCAGCCACATCAGGCTAGTAACTCACCCTGAGTTGTTGTTTGGAGCTCTCCTATGCCTCTCTCCACCCCACCATGCTGGCATTTCCCCAGAACAGGGCTTTATAATTCTCCCACCAAACCTGTGCTTCTATAGCAACTATAGAATGAATATTTATGTCAGCACCCACTTCTTACCCAGGCATTTTACCTTTAATCTTCAAAATAACCTTGCAAAGGAAGAACTAGTTAGCATTCCCCTCCCTCCCTTTCTCTCACTTAAACATTTCTTAAAATTTTAATTATGGTAAAATACATATAACATGAAATTTACCGCCGTAACCATTGTTAAGCATATAGTTTAGTATATTAAGCACATTTTCACTGTTGGGCAACCAATCCCCACTACCTTTTCATCTTTCCAAACTAAAACTCTGCACCCATTAAACAACTCCCCACCCTGCTCCCCCAGTGCCTGGCCTAATCTCTGTGAATGTGACTACTCCACGGACTTCATGTAAGTGGGATCAGTGTTTGTCTTTTTATGATTTTTTAGCTTAATGTCCTCAAAGTTCATCTTTTTTTCTTTAAAAAAAAAAAAGAAAAAAAAGAAGAGAAATGCAAGTCGTAGCTAACAGACTTGTTCGAGACTGCACAGGCAGGAAGTACCGAGTTGGGAAATGAACCAAGTGTCACTTTGGAGGTGGCACCCTTCTCTATCGCCCTGCCTGCTGTCTTCTAGGACTGAGACCTATCCGGGTGGCCTCAGCCCTTTGAGAATTGCATCAACTTGGCCAAACTTCTGTAGTACCTGGGATTGCCTCAGAGCCTGCATTTGACATTCACAGAATAAGGTTACCTGCTGCACAAATCAGAGCTTATCCCAAAGTGCCATCCAAAGAGAAGGCACCCCCAGACTGGGGAGAGTGGATGGGTGGGAATTTGAGAAACGCAAATGGCAATCCTGTGACAGAGAAGGTGAACCTTCTAGTAACTACTTTTGAGTTTAGGTCTCTGCAAAGTTGAGTGGTGCTGAGTAAAAACAGAGACCCAAAGTCAACTAGCTTCATAAGTAAAGGTAAATAAATACTTAAGCACCTTTGGGAGGTGAAGCAGAAGCAGTGTTTTTACAGAAGGAGCTGAGTGAATGGGGGCACTTGGGAAACAAGACCATTTGAAAGAAAGGCAAAGGGGGCCCTTGTTCTGTGGCCTGTTCCCTAGTGTGCTGGTGAAGAGCACAGGCTCCAGGCCTGGCTCTGCAATGTGCAGCCACTGCCTCGATTTCCTCATCTGTAAAATGGGGATCATAACAGCACTGATCTTAGTGGGCTGCACTGAGATTTAAGTGACTCCATTCATGTGAGATGCCTAGAACAGAGCCAGGCAACTTAGCGCAAAATAAGTTACTCAAGAATTGGTAGCTCTTTCTACTATTACCAGGATAACTACATGTGGTAACGCTATCTCAGGTGCTTCATTCCATGCATCTCTACTAAGCGCCTTCTATGGGCCAGGCCCAAGGTCCTCAGTGGTCACTCTGGGGATACAATACAGAACCCACAAAGTTTTCCTTTAACCCCTAGAGTGCCGGGGAGTGCGATCGCGCTCCTCCTGTCTTTTGCCAAAAGTGCCAGGAGTGCTATCGCGCTCCTCCTGCAGTGTCACTATTAGATGCTAGTAGTTCACTCTTTATGTGGGAAAAAAAATTTAAAAACCTTAACTCAAAATGCCTTGGCAATTTTAGCATAGTTCCTAGGATATTGGTTGGCACTCAAAGGGTTAAGAAAGAAGAAATTCACACATCCTGGGATTATTCTTATGCATAAACTGACCTTCACATTTTAATCAGAGTTGAGGATGATTTTATTGGTCTGGGTAAGCAATGCCAGCCAAGGGGCGGGCACCCTATGGAGCTTGCGGAAGGTGGGAAGTATCCACTATAGACCCAGAAAGGACTTTCACCCTGTGGGGGCTGTGCTTGCTGGCCATGGAGGCACAGCACCATGCTTTCCTGTGCTGTGGCTGCCCAGCTGTCAAACTGAGTGTTGGGGAGGCCATGGCCTGTGCAGTCTAGGGCTGAGGAACATCATGGCTTTGGCTATTTCTCCCACAAATAGAGAAGATAGCCGAAACCGGTTTGGCTCAGTGGATAGAGCGTCGGCCTGCGGACTGAAAGGTCCCGGGTTCGATTCCGGTCAAGGGCACGTACGTTGGTTGCGGGCACATCCCCAGTAGGAGATGTGCAGGAGGCAGCTGGTCGATGTTTCTCTCTCATCGATGTTTCTAACTCTCTATCCCTCTCCCTTCCTCTCTGTAAAAAATCAATAAAATATATTTTTTAAAAAAATAGAGAAGATAAATGGGGAGAGCCCTTTCTTTCCAAAGCAGCAGCACCATTTGCTGAATAAAAATATTTTATTGTTCTATGGAGTCCTCGGAGAAGGAAGGGGTTCTACAGGTGGCCAAATTTTCCAGGCAGCTAAGCATTTAGAGCCACCAATACCATGTGCCTATTTTGTGCCAGACACCGTTGAGGACTTCCTGAAAGGCACCTGTGCCAACTAAGTACCAGCCAAAAGGGGGCTGACCGCTGAAAGCTCTCTCCAGACAAGTGGCTTCACCCAGCAGAGGGGAGTGATAAAGACTTCTCTGCAGCATAATGGCTGCCACACGGGCAGAGGCGGGTATGAGCCACTTCCCAGTGGACCATCACCAACCAGGGGGTGTCTGGGATGCTTGGGTCACATCAAAGACTTTGCCTGTGACTTTTCATGTATTTCTCATGACATCAGGAAAAGTGTTAACATTGATAGCTGTATGTAAAAAATACAAGAATAACTGGCTTCTAACTTAGAGAGAAGCATCTTCCAAGATGACAAATGGCTATGCTAATATGATTTTATCCCTGAAGCCATCAAGCATCCTACCTGGTTTGCTCTTTCAAGGTCCGTCATGATCATTTCAATTTCATCGGCCCTAGGAGACGAGAGGAAGAGAGCGTGTTAGTCAGTAGCCAGCCAGGCTCCGGGGTGCCCACAGTTCTGAACTTGGCAGAATGACTTATAGGTACACATTCCAGGTAGAGTCCCAGTGTAGGGGGAGAGAAGAGTCATGCAGTCCTGTGATCGGGCACCGCTGCTCACTGGGAGGAGGTAGGCCTGCGCTTGAGGTGCTCCTGATCTTGTCAGGGAGAGAATCATAAAAAGATAAAGTACAGTGTCCTGCCAAAAGATTGAATAGAACTCTGAACAGAGTAGTCTGGGAAAACAAGAAATGAATTCTCCTTGGGAGAGGGAATCTGAAAAGGCTTTGGAGGAGATTGCATGTGAACTGGGTTTTGAAGGATGAGTAGAAGTTTGCTAGGACTGAGAGAAACACGAGAAGTGGAGGAGAGGATAGGAATGCAGGTCGGGGACTCTGCAGTCTGCTCTACAAACCACCTGAGTTCACCACCAGCATCTGGCCTGCTCACACACACGGAGTTCCAGGTCCCTTTTTTCCTGTTTTGAAAGTACTTCCTTGAGTAATTTGAAGGCAATAATATGGTTCCAACATATAACATCATGAGAGAGAAAATAATGCTGAGAATCCTATTGAGAAGGGTATGGTCAATTTCGAAAGTCTATGGGAGGTTAGAACTGGGCACCCCGGCAAATCACTGCCCCAAACTTCTATATTCAGTCCCTGGCTGGTCGGTTTTGCTGTTTGCTGCACCCAAAGCTTTTTTAGCCTTTAGCCGCACGCTGCGATTTGAGGCAATCTTATCAACTTCCCGCAGTTCGGACGGGGTAACAGATGCCTTGTGTGTGATCGGGTTCAAGGCTCATTGTATCTGTTTGAAATAGTATCCTGCTTTCAGACTGGTCTGAGAAAAGTCTAAAACAATTCATAAAATGTCCTAGTTAAGTGAAGTTATTTTTAGGATGACTTCGTGAAGAAGGCAGTGTCTTTGGAAGACAAACACCCCAACTGGGCCTCTTCGGTGAAAATACTAAGTGAAAGGAGGTGGGTTGGGGGGGGGCAGCTTAAATTACTAAACATCTCACCGCATCATCTGAAACGGAAACCTCCAAGATTTCAAAAAAACTGCTCTGCCAAAGAAAAGATAGTCTAATGACGACAAAGGATAAAAAAATAATTAAAGGTGTGAAGGGTCTAAAACAGGACAGAAAAGGATACCTGACAGTCAGTACAGAAAGCTGCTATCTTGACAACCTGCTGATGAAGTGCCAATTCCACTGGGTACAAGATGAAATAAAAAGTGAACACACTCTTCTTAAGGCAAATCATAACGTTTAAACACAATTTTGTACTTTAATCAAACAGTTATTCATATGTATTTACAAAGTCCAGATATACCTGGCAAATTTCCCTGGCTACTGGAATCATTCATTCATTCACTCTCGTGCCATGAACATTTCCGACACCTACAAGTTTCCTGGCCCTGGGCAGGGCGACGGGAGGGGCACATATAGACATGGCTCCTGCAGATCTTGCCAGTACTGTGTTTTTATAAGAGAAGGATGGAAACACTTAGCTGTTGAATACCTGAAAAAACTCTATAGGTGGTGTCTCACGTCTCTCTCTCTCTCTCTTTTTTAAAATATATATATTTTATTGATTTTTTACAGAGAGGAAGGGAGAGGAATAGAGAGTTAGAAACATCGATCAGCTGCCTCCTGCACACCCCCTACTGTAGTGATGGCGAACCTTTGCTCGGCGTGGTGTCAGCATTTTGAAAAACCCTAACTTAACTCTGGTGCCATGTCACATATAGAAATTTTTTGATATTTGCAACCATAGTAAAACAAAGATTTATATTTTTGATATTTATTTTATATATTTAAATGCCATTTAACAAAGAAAAATAAAAAAAATGAGTTCACGTGTCACCTCTGACACGTGTGTCATAGGTTCGCCATCACTGCCCTACTGGGAATGTGCCCGCAACCAAGGTACATGCCCTTGACCGGAATCGAACCTGGGACCCTTCAGTCCGCAGGCCGACGCTCTATCCACTGAGCCAAACCGATCAGGGCGTCTCATGTCTCTCTTGAGGAGATGAGGGGAACTGGCTGCAGGACCCAGCCGCTGGGTGGGGAAGGGCCTGGCTGAGTGAGCAGAGATCCTGAGTGTGGGCCTTGGCGAGGGTTTTTTCCTAGTCACTCCTGTTGGGTCCTCAATGAGCACTTTCTTTTTTTTTATTTTATTTTTTTCCCATTTTATTTATTTATTTATTTTTTTATTGCTTAAAGTATTACAAAGGGTATTACATATCTGTCCTTTTTTCCCCCCGCCCTTGACAATCCCCTGGCCCCTTCCCTCCTGCCCCCCAACCCTCCCCGGCCTTCCCGCTGCAGTTTGACAATCTGTTTGAGGCAGCTCTGCCTCTGTATCTATTATTGTTCAAAAGTTTGTAATGGTCTCTATTATCCATGAATGTGTGAGATCATGTGGTATTTTTCCTTCATTGACTGGCTTATTTCACTTAGCATAATGCTCTCCAGTTCCATCCATGCTGTTGCAAATGGTAAGAGTTCCTTCTTTTTTACAGCAGCATAGTATTCCATCGTGTAGATGTACCACAGTTTTCTAATCCATTCATCTACTGATGGGCACTTAGGCTGTTTCCAGATCTTAGCTATGGTGAATTGGAGCACTTTCATCTTCCTTTACTTCTGGCTAATTTATCTGTCATTGACATATTTCTTCTGCTTTATTTGGAACTATTATTTGGATTTGGTTGTACATCTACTTCTGTCCTCCACATCATTCAACCTTTCCTTATCCTTTCTAGATGCTTTTGGGTGGTTCTTCAATTTGACCCAACTGCAGCTGTATTGGTCCTGTAATTTACCTTGTTTTTTCTGTTCCTTAGTTTAGTTATTCTGTTTTTCATACATATTCCTACTTCATTCACTTAAAAAAATTATTCCTTGTTTTTGCTTTATGTTGCTATTATCTTCCCTTCTTTTCTTGAGTGCATTTCTCATGCTTTATTTTGTATTCCTGTCAGATCACACATACTGTTGTTGTTGTTTTTTTTTGCGGGGGGGGGGAGGTCTGTCCTACAAAGGGATGTTTTCTTCGGCTTTCCTTGGGGGTGCCGCTACTCTTTCTGGCAGAGAGGCAGGCCCTGCTGTCTCTCTCAGGATGACGTGAAGGAGAAAGACACACAGCAGGTGTTCAATGTATTTTGCTGAGTGAAGAAAGAAGAGGGGGGGTGACCCCAGGACCCAAAGGAATCATTGATAACTCTCCTCCACCAGGAAGATCCTCTGGTCAGAGTTTCACCTTTAATTCTCTGGGAATTCCCAATCCTGGATCTGGAGATAAGGGGGAGAGGTGTGACTGCCTGTTTTTATCCACTGCTCAATCCTTGCCTGGCTCTGCCATTGGCCAAGGGGCCAGTATAGCGTCACACACAAGCTGAGGCTAGAGAAGAGAGGGGTTCCCAGGGGCCTGGCTTTACCTAGAGCTGGCAGCAAGGCTGGGACCCGTGGGGACAAATTCTACCAGATTTAGGGGACTTGGATGGGCTTGAGAGCCTCCTCAGACAGTGAGTGGTTTTGGATACTCATTAGTATGCCTAATAGCCAGAAAACAATGCACTATTTCCAAAAGGTTTCAATTCCCTTATAAAGAATTAGTCACAATTAAACAGAAAGGTGCCTTCTCAGCAGTCTGAGGCAATCCCTGGAAGTGAATTTCAAGTTTTTCCATCTTGTGGTCAGTTTAACTTCAGTTACTAAGCAACCACTAAACTGACCAAAATATTGAATGTGATAACAACTATTGCACTTACCTTTCATTACAAGAGCAACTCTCAGATTTCCAAAGCTTTCAAATGATAATGACAACACTGAGCTCTGCTGTTAAAAAGCACGGCTATTCAGCGCCAGGTATCCTGATGACAGCAGGGCCCAGGGGGGCTGCAGCTCCCATTCACAGAATGGACCAGAAGCCACAGGAGGAGACAATGGAGCAGTGGGCAGGGAAAACGCCGAACTATGATTTTAAAAGTCTGTAGGCTTGTGATTCATTTTTCAAGGGGCATGCTTTTTAAAAGATCAAAAATATATCTATCAAGACATTTCAGTGTGATCGGGGTTTTAAAAATGGGAAATGCAGCCACTGGCACTTGTAGACGAGGATGGAGATGGTGGGGGCTTTGATCGTCTGTGCTGGTCGCATCTTAGAACACATCTGCCACTGAGTCTGTGCAAAGCACTCCTCTCCAAACTGCTGCCCCTGCCCTCCCAACAAAATGAATGCTCCCAGACAAACTGCCCTCAATAAGTAACACGAAAATGCCCAGAGGTTAATACTACAACTATAAATGTTATCTGAAAAGTGCAGTAATGAATTAAATGCCATGTGCTTTCATAGAGTGAGTGTCAACAATATTCTGAAGGTTTTTCATTCTTTTCATTTTGAAGGCCCAACTACCACATCAGGATCTGGAGCCTGACATTAATCTAAAATCATTTATTTTCCAAAGTCCATAATAACAGCACATATTGTTTGCTCAGCAAAACTATTTATTATAAAAATTTAGTTCTCTCACCTTTTTACGAGCTGACAAAACAGCTCTCACTGATCTATTAACCTGCACAGCATTACGTTCCACTCCGACTTCAAAGAGCGAGTAATTTCAGCTTGGCCTAGAATATTTGGTTTATCCAGTCAGTTTCCTACGGATCATTTCAGGGTATTCTCTGCACTAACACGCAATTTTTATGAGGAACTCCAAAGGACGTGGTCAAGGTGGATGGAAGGGAGATTATATCCACACTGGGAACTCTGTGTTTACTTTTACACTAGCCCCCCAAGTGCTAAGGGATGGCACCAAGGCAAGGCTGGTGCATATTTCAATACCCAAACACTCATACTGTCATCAGGATCTGTTAGACCAAGTACATCTACAGGCAGTTAGAGAAGTGTCCTTGGCGGCCTTCAAAGATCAGTGTGTCTTC